GGAAGGAAGGGAGGCAGGGGCCCTTGTCTTGGGAGTTTCTCTCTTGAGGGACTAAGCTGCAGTCACCTTGCCCCTAGCCCTAGCCAGCCTGCTACAGTGAGTTTGATAGCTCTACTCTACTTTAACATTCAGCTCCCAGCTCCACGAGTGGTCAGTCGCTTTATCTGACTCCAGACTCCTGGACTGATGGGCCATGCTTTTCTTTTTTCTTTTCTTTTCTTTCATTTTTTCAGATAGTGTCTGTGTGAGCCAGGCTGGCCTCACAGTTATGAGCAGTCCTGCCTCATGCAGTTTCCCATGCTAGGATTACAGGAATGTGCCACTATACCCAGCTTAGCATTTAAATTTGTTTCGTAAATTAACTTTTTTGTGTATGAATGTTTGACCTGTATGTATGTGCGTCATGTGTGTGCCTGGTGTTCATGGAGACAAAAAGAGGATGTTATATCCCTTGAAAGTGGAGTTACAGATGACTGTGAACCACCACGTAGATATGGGAACCCAACCTGGGTCTTCTAGAAGAACAGTCAGCGCTCTTATCTGCTGAGCCGTCTCTTCAGCCCCTATTTTTGTTGTTGTTGTAGTTTATCATCAATGGATTATAATTACTGCACATACAGAGATCAGCAAACCTGACCCCATGCTGTCTGCAGGGGACACATACTCTTGGCGACATCTGGCAGTATGGATGAACAGAGAGTATGTGATCATCCCATATCATGGTGGTACTGACAGCAGGTGGCAGCTAGGGTGGGGTGGAGTGGGTAAGCTTGAAGTTCCAGAGCTTAACTTGGACCTTGGGGTAGGTTCTATAAAGTCACTGAGAAAGCACCAGTTTTTATCATATTCTTAAACCTAAGACTTCAAAAGTAAGCTTATGCCTTAGTGTGCACCACATCACCTGAAGGACTCCAGTCATTTGGTATATGTGAAGTGGGGTCCAAGAATTTGTATTGCCACTGGGCAGTGATGGTGCACATCTTTAATCCCAGCACACGGGAGGCAGAGACAGGTGGATTTCAGTGAGTTCGAGGCCAGCATAGTCTACAGAGCGAGTTCTAGGAGAGCCAGAGCTACACAGAGAAACCCTGTCTTAAAAAAACAAAAGCAAAAGAATTTGTATTGCTAACCATTTCTGAGGGGACACTAACACTCTTGATCTAGCCCTACAATTTAAGAATCATTGATTTAAAGAATATAGAAATCATAGGGGTCCTAAGTTTAGATTATGATCTTCCTTTTTAGACAAGATTCTAACAGACACCACAGCCCTCTAAACCACCCCTAAGTCCCAAGGAATTTGAGATTTTATTTTTGGGAGAAGCCTCTGGAGAGAAAGATGCTGGACCTCGCCTTGGAGGTCAGGAAACATCTGGGAAATAGCATTTTAGAGGATGCAGGGAAACGCCTTCTGAAATTTAAAAAGCCAAGCAAAACTCTTGAATGGGAAATGATGAGGTTGGCTTTGGCTGATCCAATTACTGGGCCAACTGCTAGTGAACAAGGGGTTCTGGGAATCTGGGCAGACCAGAGCCTCTCTGGAGACTTACTGCTACTAACAACTGTTGGGCTTCTATGTGAATCCACAAGGGCCCAGATTGGAGGTCTGCTATAAGGAAGAACGGGTGTCTGTCAGTGGGTGGGGGTGGTTAGAATCTGGGGAAAATGGAGAAGGAACACAATTCAACAAGACAATTCAAGAGCCTCATTCACCTAACCGGTGGTTGAGGTCTTTGTGGTGAGAGTGTGAAGAGGAGGAGGAGTGCTTCAGGCCGTGCTCACTGGAAGCAAGAGCAGCAGAGAGGCCCGGGAGGGCCATCTGCCAGCTTCCTCTAGACCTGCTCCAAGTTAAATCTTTCCTCCGTGAAAGGGAGGGAGAATTCATTCATGAATCAAGCTGAGTCTAGAACAGGAAATGTGGCTCTGAACTATGCAGAAGAACCTCTTTTGCAAAGAGCACACTGGCTTTACTACCTAGCTAAATAGGTGAGGTGAGGCACTGTCAAAATCGGAGAGATCTATAGCTTAGTGGGGTATGTAGACAAAACCACCATGGGAAGGCACTATAGTAGAGAGCCGAGACCACAGATGTGCTCTGATATCAACCTACCTGGACTTGGAATTCTGACAGTGGAACCCAGGGCAGATTAATCATCCCATGCCACAGTGAGCATCCTCACCTGTAAAATGGGGGGACAGTAAGAGTGCTTGCACCTTAAAGGCGCTGAAGTAAGAATGAGACGAAATAGCCTAGGTAAGACACTGACTTTAGTACCTAATTTTAAACATTCAGTACTTAAAAACATAAAAGATAGTGGGGCTCAGAAAAATTCAGGACAGTGACTATACAGACACACTATCAGAGCCATTGCCAGAGACAAGAAGGGCAGACAGGGAGGTTGGAGCTGCTCCCAATCTCAGGCTGCCGAAGAGAATAGTTTTACCAGGACGACCCTGCTGGCTGTAGCATAGGGCTAGCCTGCTTGTACACACTGAGCATTCAGTCTCTTCTGTGACATTTCTCACTGACAATCTAAGTAGACACAGTCGGATGTGAACAAATCAAAGAGTAAAATTGGCATTGGTAGGAAAACTATACTAATGCTATTGGGAACACTTGGAGATTTGCAATATTAAGGTGGAACCCATTTTCAGGGGAAATATACAGCTCCTGAAGTTCTTAAAGTGTGGAGGAGGTGCTGAAGTGATAGTAGTGGAGGTGTGTAAACCCCAGCAGAATTGGCAGTCAGATGCTACAGAGGGATTTCTTCCCTTTGATCCCTAATGAGCAGAAACTCCTCTAAAACCCAGTACCCTAGATCAAAAAGTTCTGTCATATCCCAGTACCCAAATGCTAATAGGTGTGGTATGTGTGTGTGTGTGGGGGGTCTTACTGCTTAGAAAGCAACTGTTACTGGAACTAAGAACAAATAGATTGCTAAATAAATAAATAAATAAATCATGCAAAAGAACCAAAGCAAGTTATATGTCATATGGTTAAATAAAAATTCACAGCCACTGCAAGGAGGTAGTGGGAAAAGATTGCCAATTTTATTACATTATTCTAGGTTCTTTTCTTAAGATGTTTCCGAGCCATCTAGGCCTTGACTTGCAGTTCATACCTATATCAAGTCTGGGAGCTCAACCCTGCAGGACTGCTGTAGGACCTTACCTTGGGTTCTTGCTCTTCCTGACTTCTGGCTTTTCACTCCACATACTTCCAGGGAGCAGGTTCTGCCTACAGTCTTCACTAGAAGTTCCTGCTCCTCTTAGAAAAGGATCCAGGGATTTTACCTGATCCCACTCTTGAGGAGAGGGGCATCTATTCTTCAGAAAGCACCCACCCGTTTTCTGTGTGTCCCCTAGAAGCCACAGGCACTGTAGCACTAGAGGAAACTGGTTTTTAAGCCAGGTCTGGTGACACAAGACTATAATCCCAACTACTCAGGAGACCCAGGCAGAGGATCAAAAGTTGAAGGTCTGTCTGTGCTATGGGGTGAGTTCAAGCTTAATATGGACAATTTAGTGAGACCTTACCTCAAAATGTTTTTTTAAAAGGGCTAGGATATAGCTTAGTGGTGAATGCTCGCTTAGCTTATGAAAGGCCCCAGGTTTGGTCCTCAGGACTACACACAGACACACATACACAGACACACAGACATAGACACAGACACAGACAGACACAGACACACACACACACACACACACACACACACACACACACACACACACACACGTTTCTTAGGTACCCCACCTATCTTTCCCAAATAGTGGCACCCTCAGCTTTAGATTCTGATAGTTTCATTATTTTTATCAGAGTTGTGGCTGTCACTTGTGGAACTTATTCCAACTCTTCTTCTCTACATTTTGTTAAGAAAAGAGTGAACAGCAAATTTCCTTGGGACTCACCCAGAGAAGCCTGGAGCTCTGAACTGGGACAGTCTATGGTCATGCATAAGTCTTTACAACACAGCCCATCACTGAGAGGATCACACACAGTGTGATTTCTACCAGGAACAACTAACTCGGAGAACTTGTTCCAACTCGTCCTCTGATCTTGCTTGAAGGTATGTGAAAATATTAAAATAATGATAAAAAGCAAAAGGCACAAATAAAACTTCACACTCTACTTCCTAAAGCCAAGGAGATATACCCATAAGGCTCCTGAAGTCTTTGTTTGCTTGTTTTTTAAAGAATTTTACTCAGAAGTCAAAACTGAGGTGGTTCTCCTCAGTTAGCTAATCTAACCTTCTAGAACAGTGGTTCTTAACCTGTGGGTCATGACCCCCTTGGGGGTCAACTTATCAGATATTTACATTATGATGCATAAATAACAGCAGCAAAATTACAGTTATAAAGTAGCAATAAAATAATTTTACGGTTGGGGGTCACCACAACATGACGGACTGTATTAAAGGGCTGCAGCATTAGGAAGGTTGAGAACCACTGCTCTATAATGTTCCAATGGAAGTGTCCTGAAGATTCACTCCTGTGCTATGTTTTTGTGGCTTTGTTTCTCTCTGCTATTCTATTCCACAAAAAAAGCAGTTTGAAAAGGACCTTACTCTTCATCTTACATCACGGACTCTTGCACACTTCTCCAAACCAACTTCAAACACAAGATGACAGGAACAAAAAAAGGTTTTCCCAGGAAATGAGCAGGATTCATGGGCAAGTTCTCTCTTCTTTTCAGTGCAGCAGCATGGTTAACTATCACACTGCCAGATAATTTATTAAAAGTTGACCCAAGAAGCTACAGAGGAAGTCTATTCACAAAATAATCTTATAAAGAAATGTTTTAAAGTAAAATAGGAAATGGGGTTTTCCCATGTGAGAATATACATTTAATACCTGCAACAATTAATGATGATTTGCAGGCAAATGTCTACCTGCTACGAAGTCCTGGAGATGTCTCCATTGACCAAAAACCAAACCGAAACAAAACAAACAGGCCACCCAGATCCCTCCCCCACAAAAGCATTGAAACAAAAGACTGATGATCTGTTTATGTAGTCACATGAAAAATAAACATCTTTATTTTTTGCCTACTTTATTTCATTTTTCAAATAAAATTTAAATCTGTACAAAGTATACTGTTACAGTATATATTTTGTAAGAATCAATGCCTAAAAGAATCACAATACTTCAATAAGCAGTACAGCAGACCTCGCTAGCTTCAGCTTTGATATTGAACAAACTCAAGCCGGCTGATGCACAACACAGTTGCTTGGTTTCCACATGGTGAGTTCCCAGCACTGAGATGGGAGAACATGACAGCAAATATGGTTATAGTACAGCCCAACACACTGCGCTTCTTCATATGATAATAACTGCACATATTTAACACAGAATGCTCAAATTTACTTTTAAAATTGCATTTGCTTACTTTTTAGTTGGCAAAATTCAGCATTTTTAAATGGGGTCCCCAAACAGTGCAAATTAATGATATTCTATCGTATATTGGCACAACTCCAATAAGGATTAACTTGTAAACTCAAAGAATATCAAGAACTTAGCCCTAGGTTTTAACTAATATACACCTGGTCCATTTAACCAAAGTCATTTTGGAAAGATAGTAAAGAGCAACTCTATTTCTGAAAGGATATTGTTTTGACCATTCTTTAGAGAAGGTAATTTTTTAAATCGTCATTAAAACTTTTACTATAAAAATTTTACAAACTTGATTAGAAATTTCAAGATGATTCACAGCAGACAAATACAAACTGTTTCTATTCCAACAACACCAAGGCTTAGACTTTCAAGTGGAGCACAATCGTGTCAGCTGTGTTAACTGAAACTGGACAGTGACTAAGTTTATAAGTGGTGCTGGGTCTAGCAAGTGTAAATACACAGTATATTTCAATGAAAAGAATTGTCTTCTTTATACTTTATTTGTTTTCCCATAAGGAAACATTAATGTTTACATTCTTTAATAAAGTTAATCTTACATCAGAATATAACTTAATACTGTCAGCAACAGGGACCACACACAGTAAATAAGAAGCACATTTAAAATAAGTCTGATTTCACATAGATTAACATTTGTTGGTTAATAAAATATCGACAGTATTACAATCTTACAATATTTACAGTAAGAAAAATCTAGAGTAATATATACCTTTCACAGCAGGATTCCTTTTTAAGTTTTTCCAGTTTGGGATTGTGTGTACACAAAAAGCTCAAAATAAAGCAACTCTGCATGTAATCTTAAAGTAACGGCTACAGGGGGGCTCTATCACGGCCATTGAAAATAATGGTGACTTATCACGGAGTCTGTGGCATCTGAGAACCCAGTTAATTTACCAAAGTCTTGCTCAAACCAGCCTTAGTTATCCATATTAAACCAGCTAGTTACCCAGATTAAAACAACCTTAGTTACCCAGATTAAAGCTGCAGAACTCCGGCCTTCCCCAACTGCTGAAAACCCAACAGACTTTCTTATCATGCTATAAGAAAAGAGGGAAACTGGTTTCAGCTCATTCCTTATGGCTGGAAGCTTCCAACCAGCGCATATTTCCTAACATACGCTGAAAGAGGGCTGGTTTAGTTCCCAAGCATCACAAGAGTCCACCCTCCAAGTACAGGGCATCCTGATGATATCAAGCTCACTCACTCTTCAACTCTTGTGCATTAAGATAAGGCATGAACTTGGCCCATAGAATACCAGTATCTTGGAGACTTGGGATTGGGGCAAAGGAACAGACTTGTGTAGTTTGTACTGAGAGCAATAGGAAAAATGGGAAGTGATGCACATTTCCAATTAGAATGACAAGAAGACCCACATCCCTAAACTGGAATTTGGCCAGGGCATCAGAGTTAGCACCCCCTCTCTGAGTACCACAAACAATTAGGATGTGTGCTCTGGGCCTCCTCTTGGAGAGCATCTACAGTAAGTAATGCAGTGTGGGACATTAGTTCAGTGATGACTCCCAAGGAAGCAGATACAATTCTTGAATCTGGGGCTGTCTACAGCACCTGAGGTCAATCCTCAGAGCTGTGACCCGTCCCAATTCTGCTTACTTCACAATATCTGATGGGCACAGAGCACTCAGGGATACGGCTGCTGGCTACTTTGGACTCTAGATCTTACAGGTAATCAACAGGTATCTGGGATTGAATTAGCAAACTGTACCATGACTCCTTAAACAGACACTGTCAGGTTTGAAATCATGTCAAGCATGACTCTTCACTGTCAGGTCAGAATTCAAAGGAGGAGTGTTCCCACGTCAGCCAAGGCTATTTTGTCAAAACCTTAGAGGAGTTGGACAGTTTTTCAGTTTGCAAGTGATTGGTTACTCATTTCAGTAAAGCTGGATTGGCAAACCAGACTGAACTATTTAGTTTTGTGTTTTGATTCTTACATTGTGCTAACCCAAAGCTGTTGCATTTGGGCTAAATACACTGACAGAGAAAATTCAAACAAAAGTTTCAGCAAACTTCTGCGGCATTTTCTTTTTGGAAGTCAATGCAAGATCGAAAGGTATTTCTACCCAACAAAGTCTGTTTAAGTGTTGAATATTACTTCCTTTTGGTCCTATACAGAATGCTATGACTTCTATATAGGTCTGAATGCTGCCCCGTGTAGATTCCTTCTGTATATCTAAAAATATATACTTTTCAGTAGTTCAATACATGGTTAATCTTCCCACAGAGGAAGATTTTTGTAATCACATGTTGCAAAGTAGAAAAACATCTCCTTTCTAAGAAAGGAAATACACTTTTCTATTGTACACTTTTGAATAAGCCCAAAGGCATGCACCAAAAATCATCTTTAAACTAATACATGCACTAAAATGGCGTGGAGTTACACTTAAAGTGCTGCTTCTTGATTTCTGAATTTGAAGACATTTGTCAGTTGTTGAGTCAAAGTCCTCCCCCACCCCCACCCCATGGTATCAAGAGAGAAAAGTAAAAAGTATGCATAAATCTTTTAGACTATTCTTTACATGGGGAAAAGATGGATATATCAACTATCCTATATGTAAACTGGACTCCCAGTTTTAAATAAACTCAGTATTTACTGGTAAAAATTGTCAAAGCTAATACACCCAAACAAATGTTACTAGTAAATAATGTTCTACATAGAGAATAATTTACTTTGGTTTTATGCACCTTCTCAAAAATAATACTAGTGTCCCATACTTCACCAAACTGATGTGTTCCAGCAAAGTTGTAAGGCAACTTATTTTTCTCTAGTGCCATCTTTTTTCCCAACAGACAAAACTAAAATCTTTTGGTGAGGAAGGGGTTAAGATAATGGCTAACCCCTTGGCATCCTGAGCGTTGTGGTTTAATCAAACTCTACCCTGCAAAAGTTGTCAGGCATCTGGACCCCTACCTTGAACCAGGAATGGCTCCCTTATCTGGAGATAACCTGACTCCTTATAAATAGCTCTCAGAACTTTACTTCTCTTCCCCTTCTATCTGGATGTTATAAAGTCTAACAAAGCTAGTTGCAATATCACATTTCGCTAGTAGGGGCCACCATGTGATAATAATCCAATCTGAAATGTTTTAAGCCAATAGCTTCTAATTTTATCAATTAATTTGCATTACAATTTTCTATACAGTTTGCTCAGAGCAAAAATTCCTAACTTGGATTTCAGAAGATAAGTGATGACCCTGAGGTTGTAGCAAAATTATCTGTTACGTGCATTTTTTTCTGGGGAGAGGGTCCATCACTTTTATCAGATTTTTTAAAGGTATCTGCGACCCCCCCCCAAAAAAAAGCATTACAGGGACTTAAGAGGGATACCCGTAATTTATTGTATAATAGGATTAAGAAATGGAGGCAGACAACAAAAATGGCCTGGGGTTGCTGATCTTTCCCTTTATTCATATTTGGGAAATGAGTGCTTCAAAGTAGGAAAAGGAATTAAGCTGGTTAAACTCCACTAAAAAATAAAGCCACTTGCTACAATTTTCTCACTTCCATATGCAGTAAATTTAGCCTCCAAGAAAAGGTATGAAGACTGAATCTTTTCTTTTCCTAAGGCAATTCACAGATATAATGCTGAATGTCATCCACATTTAAAGAGCTAAGGCCATCAAATGCAGGTAACTCTAATGATGTGAGCCTTTAACTTGTGGTTTTGCATACAGAATTATCTTGAGTCAAATCCATATTCATTAACCTTCATTTCCAAAATTGGTCCATATTTAGACAACTACCTGGCACAATTCCTATACATAACCTTAAAATCTGGACTATGGTTAAACTTTCTACTTAAATTAAAAACAAAGCTACAGGCTCCACAATGGAATCTAGCCACATACATTCAGACCATGATGTAGACAACATTCTCATTTCAAATATATCACTGAATTAACAGAATCTGCAAACAGTATGAACCACAATGACCAGCAGAACATGGGAAGAACATGTCACGATCAACATCCCTATCCAGAACGCATTCAGAATAACCAGATCTGAAAAGAGGCCTCTTACTTGCTGGTTTTAAGTGTGAGGTGTGTAAAAAGCTACAGGGAAAGAAATAGAAAATGAGATCACTAAGTAACTTATAAAAACAATTCCAGCCAAAAATACATCTCTCTGTTCCATTGAGAAAATTCAATGTTTCTTTTTTTGCAGTTCTGAATACAGCATCACACATTTCACAGGTACACTCTTTGTTCTCTGTGCAGAGCACATCAAGAAAGCTAAGACTGCCTCTGGTTAAATCAAAGTCTCATATCCTTTGCTGTCCCCATCTCTCAAAATGTAAGTCGATCTTAAATTCTCAAAAGGAACAGTCACTTCATGTAATACCAGTTATGTGACACAAACCATGAAGAAACTATATGACCTTTATGGAAAGCTACACAAAAGAGGGAACTGTCATCTATTTTACTTCCAGTTTCTTAAGCATGTGCCCAGCAAGACTCATATCATTTGCTAAATGAAACATACCAACACTCCAAAGCCAGGCCATACCAGGCTCGGAAGTTGGATCTCAAAGACACAATTTCATATACATAGACATATTTCCTATTCTAAGCTTTTACTTTTCTTAAACAGTTTAATAAAGCTCACATTCATAAAGAATTTTATTGGCAAATAAAAGATTTATATTAAAAATTTTATCAAAACAAATTTTACTGTTACATAGCTAACATTAACAAATATTTTCTTGGCCTTATAAAGCATATGTAATTGCATATGAGTTTAACTTTGGGTGGGATATTGAAAACAATTTTTGCAAGAAATTAGAAAAGACTAGAAACAAAAGTGAAAGTGACTAGTCTTTAATTTCCAAAAAAATCAAGTGCAAAGATAAATAGTGCAATAATGAAAACTATAAATTTATAGGCCACTTTACAGAGTCTTTTCTGCTTTTGCACTTTTCTACATTATTATCAAACCCTAAAATCTGTATGCAGCATAGAAATGGGCTATCATTTATCTCCATTGACTAGACTCAAGGAAACCTCTCAGACTTGTCTCAGTCATTTAAAGCACTGGTTCTTCACTTCCTTTAAACAATTCCTAAGGGAGGAGCTATTTAAGAAGGCTCTGCACAGACTTAAACTATAGTATGTTAACTATAATTTAAAATCTGACACACAATAAAATGTGAAAATTATACTAAGTGCCAACTCTGCAAAATAAGCTATGTAAAAATAATCCCACTACTGTTAATGAACTTGACACTTGAGAAAAGGAAAAATTCCTTCCAAGTATAGACCAAAACTTCCTTTTGACTATTTTAAAAACAAATTATTGCAGGAATGTATAGGGATCTGATGAAA